GCAATCCTATCGATGTAATTGCTTGCCTCGAATATGTTGTGAATTTAATTTCATGAGTTCTGTTATCCAGCACTTTATCCACACTTTCCGTACACCAGAACCAGAATATTTTAATCCATTTTTCGCGAGTACTGAAATCGAGAGCACAGGCCCTGTACTCCGCGCCCTCTATGCGAACATTCCTGACCCTCATTGAGTCGATCTCATTGCCGGCACCCCTGGCCTGTAGACCAAGTTCTGGGACTTTGATATTCAATATGAAAAAATCAAAGACCATAGGACTGGAGAACTCAAAGTGCCAGTCGTGGGCCACCTGTGCGTTGGGTACCAACACTGCGGTAGCCTTTCCATCGTAATAACTGGCCGGGTATTCACTGTTCGAGTAATTACTGGTAATCATGTCAACAATCGTCTTATTGTTTCGCAGATTAATAACTTTAACGTTCGTTAACTGATTCTTAATAAAGCGGCCGCACGTGGATCGCGGGCCCGTCCACACACCGGCCACACATTTCTTGGTCTGTGTCTTGACATACATCTTATCGTTAGGACACCTATACCTCACTTCATCGCCGTCCTCGTAGACAGTCTTCTCGGGATCTATTTTGGTGTCATGTGGTAGACCTGGATATCCACATCTGCTCCCAATATAATAACATTTAATTGCGTTAAACACACAAAATATTAATACTAATAAGTAGATTTTTGTATTAATTGAAGTCATTATTATTAATACATATTTTTATATATTTTTTTAATGAAATGATTTTTGGATTACAGAATGTTTGCAAATGTTTTGCTGTGTCTATGCAAAAGTGTTTAGCGTTTTCCTATATATGGACTGTATATGGATTGTATGCTGGTATCAAACCATATATAATGATAATTTCCATATATATTAATTGATTTAATTGCTGTCATATGATTCCATGGCTTAATACTTTAACCCATAATTTTAGTATTAAATATAAATTTTTATTACTTAGTATTCGATACAGGGGCGATGTATAGTAACAATTGGTTACATAATAGCGAGGACAATGACATACGTCAGCTAACATTTCAACAACAGTTTGAATATATCAAAAATGAGACATCAAAAAAAGCAACATGCTCAACAATATGGTGATTTATCCGTCGCTAATTTACCTGTCTCATAGTTTTAGGAAATAATTCTTTTAATTAAACAAATTTTTATTTAGAAAATTCAGTATGATACTTGCCAGTTTATGCTAATTAAATAAACACATAGTTTTTCCATATGGATGTTTGATTAAATTAATTAAATAATTAAAAATTAATTTAAGATGAACATTCAAAATTTATTTATAATTTTTTATTGATAAGTAATTTAAAACTATATTCAGTTATTGTTTTATTTATTATTCACACTAATTACTAAATTAACACATTTATTAATGTTCACACTAATAGAGTATGCATTATATGTAAAGCAATTCTATATTACTGTACTGTAATAGCAAAGCACTGCGAATACAATCATAACGTCACCTATTATACGACAGTACTGTACACAACCAACAATGCATTACTACTACTGTATACAGAGTAGTAGTTAACTGTATTATCTTAGCTTTTGTTTGCTTAAATTAAAACATTCCCCATTAAAATCATAACGTTATATTTGATGCATCTATTGAAAAGTGAGACTTAAAATTAATATTATACAGGTGTGATAATGGTCAGTATCTGTGAGTACAGTACGACTCTATTGGAAAGTTCTAGAGTACTGTACGTGAGGCACAGGTATGATGACTCGGCCAGAGTATAGCCAAGGGTAGCAACTCATAGGCCTTCGTTACGATACACATCATGTGTTTAAATGAGAGTTTTTAGGATATTATCCTACATTTTAATAAACAAATTAATATTTAGAAAATTCAGTATGATACTTTCCAGTTTATGTTAATTAAATAAACACATAGTTTTACCATATGAACCGTTTTATAGAATATTTCGAAATTATATTTACACCAAGTTTATTTGCTATTTATGAATGTAACCTTCAACACAAATGTCAGGGGGTTAATCAAGTTTGCGTAGATCACCAATGTTATTGTGCACCAAATTACTGTATATACGGAATGGTACGGCATGTGAGAACTACAAAGGGGTTCCTTTACTGTAGTTTATTAATAAGTAATTTAATACAATATTCATTTATTGTTTTATTTATTATTCTTTATTTTTAATAATAATAATAATTTTTAAAAATTATTATTAAATATTTGTTTTCAATATTTCGGTCAATACTATGTTCGCAGTGTTGTATCAATCGGTTGACAGCAATGTCCGCATCACTCGAGTCACGCATTTGTTCGCAAATATACACAAATAAATGCAGTTTTGTGTCAATATATTTTGCGATTTTAGATATAATCTATGATATTAATTGAATTATGCTAAATACTTTTATATTGAATTAACTTTATTAATATTTAGAATCACTGGTCATCAAACGCAGCCTAATTTCAAGTGAGGGATCTAATAATTATATAAATTACAATATTTTAAATTTAAAAAGAATTAAAAATTTAAAGTTTTCTAACATTCAAAACAAAGGAGTTAAAATTGTTACAAGTTTTAGTGTAAAATCTAATAAATTAAAAACTTTTATAAATGAATTATAATTATTGTCTAATAGTCGACGATACCATTAAACAAATTTAAATTAAGAATTAGGGTATTAATATTTGAGATAAACAACAGATACAACGTAAAACAATAATGATTTCTAACATATAAATTGCAGAAAGCACAAATATAATTAGATACGAGTTGTATTAGTTTTTTCCAGATAAATTGGGGCGCCATTCGGGTCCACACTATTTGTATTGCCAATCGTATCGTATGGATCTTCGTATTTGTGATCAATATTATAGTCGCACTCTTCGTAGTCATCCATACGGTTGTCGTCGTAAACATCGGACACCATCTCTCGGTTAATCCGTTTCAGTCTTTTTTGCTTGCAATACATGAATATTAAGGCGGATACTGATGTGAGCAACAAAACCAAACTTATTATCACCACTAATATTAATATCATAGGACTAATTGTGTTTGTACTCGGCTTTTCTTCATTAGTATTATATCCAGGTATATCCGTTGCGGTATCAGACATGCGCTCCTTTCCAACGATACCATACATAATAGTCTTACAAATCTCAGGGGCGATGGCAGTGCTGTCATGTAGTGTATCATATGAAAGGTCTGTATTATCATCAGCCCGTCGATAGAGGCGAACATAATCTATGATAAGTGCCGAACACTTCCACTTCAGGTAATCATTTGAGACAAACGTTTCGCCTTTATTTATGTCAATTTTCACCTCGGTTATCAATTCCGCTCGGGGTCCAAGAAACGGCTTATTAAGCGGATTATATGGTGCAGTATAAGAGTATTTATAGTCAAAACTCCATTTATAATGAGTATCGTTCCACTCGATGGTATACGTATGAAATTGAGCCAGGTCCTCGTTGAACATTTGCTGTTTTATAGTCTGTCCCATATACAGGTTGGCATAGTATCCTAAGGGATTGATTATGGAAATGTCAACAGTCGTGTTGTACACCCTGGTGCTCACGTGTACGAATGGATATAGTAGTTGACCCTGTGGCAATGCCGCCCTTATAGCTAAATAGCTGGCCGCACGCCAATTAAAGCTCACTAATAGCTCGGGCCGTGAGAACAGGGGCTTATCGTCGGGTATGTCGTGTTTCGTGTGATTCTCGGGCCTAACAGTTAGGGCGAGGGTTTGGTTCGCGAGTTGGATATTGTCGGGGGATATAACGCACGCCATGTTATTCTCGTTATACTCTATTGAATGGTTGATAATAATGAGAGAGAGAGAGAGAGAGAGAAATCAAATAGCATTCAAATAAAATAAATATTTTTCAAAAACAATTTGCTTACTATCGCAATCATTTCTATTGCCTATCATCCACTTTTTAGTATCAAGGTAATGAGTAGCAAACTCATCGTTCCATACAAGTTGTAATGATTTATTAAATAGCAACGACAGTCCATTTTCTATTTGCATTAAAAATAATAAACAAAATAAGTTTAACATGTTTTGATTCAATCACTAAAATGCCATTATATGTGACCCAATAATATGAAAGAAACATTTGCTTCAATACGTTTAACACAATTTCATAAACTCATTAAATAATCGGCAAAAGTGTCTAACCGTTTGTTTTGGATCTCAAAAAAGGCATTCCACTATTATTTATGCCGGGTATTTCTCACCAATCTCGGCATTTCTATTTTCTCGGCATACGGGTACCGTTTGATCCCACGTTGAGTTGTAAAGACATGTGCGAAACGAGTCGGTGACGAACCGGAAGCCAGGTTTGCATCTATAGCTAACGGCCGTCCCTTCGATGGCATACCATTTGTTTGTGTCAAAGATATACGCGTTCTTCACAGACATTATCTCTTCGGACACTTCATTGAACTCTACTTTACAGTATAGTTTGGGCACACATTTAGGACTACCG